AATACAGGCCAAAGGAGGCCCAACTAAATACTGAGTGCTGTACATGCTCATACTTTTCATGTTCATACTTTTCAGTTGGCCAACATTTCTATAAATCCTTTGTTTTTATTGGTCTTCAGTAATATTCTAATTTTCTGATATGATGAATTTGAGATTTTCATTTGTTGTCATTTGTAATCATCAAAATTAAACAAAATAAACATCTGAAATATATGAGTTTGTATGTAATGTATGAATATAATATACAAGTTTCACTTTTTAAATGGAATTACTGAAATCAATCTACCTTTTCATGATATTCTAATTTTATGACCAGCACCTGTATATATATATATATTCATATAAAATGGATAACTAACCAGAAAAGAAATACAAATTTAACCCTTCCATAGTTTCTGACTGTTTAATTGGTCTTCACACCTTTTTTTTTAATATACAGATTCTTAAATAAGATAATTTCATTTGATATTTATGATTAATTAAAAAAAATTTTAATGTAGCTATTTCACTAAGTGAAATAATTGAAATAAGATCCTCATGTAGAAATTGTTTTTGTTTGTTTTTACAAAGCAGCCTACTTTTATTTAAACAACCTGCACCAAAGATCGCGAGAATTGTGACAATTATCTTGCTGTATCTATTTTACATAATTGTCCTAAACGTTTCTTTGGATTGTCTTGAATTTCAAATAAAGAATCAATTTTGGTAACTTCTATAGTTTTTATGGGGATAAAATGTTTGATCAGCATGACAATCTCGACCTACAGAGGGCGCCGCATACATATAATACCTGAAGGAATGCACATTTGGTTATCTGACTGACTCACACAAAAACGAAACCAACATAAGCTTGAATGCATAGTGGGTCAAATGTTATAAGAAATGATAAGAGGGATTTCAGATTTCCAATCTGAGACCTGCTATTTTCAAAACATATCTGAAACACTGAAACATTATTCCTTCTGCAGGTCTTTGCAATGCATACTCCCGTCCCCATTTTTGGTGTATTTGACAGAAGGTACCAAAAACAGGGGTAATAGAACAAGAAAAAAAGAATTACTTAATTCTTGATTTCACTTCGTCTGAAGTCAATAAGGAGTGTTTTTGAGTGACTTTCAATTTACTGATGTTTATTTCAGTGCCTAAATTACGGGAAAGAATGTGAAGAATCTTAGAAAATCTCACTGATATGTCACAAAATCCCTTTTATACCAGCTGTTCAAGGTCAGTTAGTGATGTCTGATGTTCTTTCTTTAGCCCAAAAATTTTTTTTGTAATTCATTTAATATAAATTACAAGAGATACCACTAAATTTAAGCTAATTAGACATTGCACTCACTCCTTTTTGTAAACCAGCATACTATCTGGTGTCACCTCAACCTGAGAATCTACCTTTTGTTACAGGAGGAGGACTGAGTACTGTCAAGCAGAGAGAGACAGACACCAGCATGCTGTGTGGGAGACAGCTTGAAAGAGTGCCAGCGTAAACACTCTCAGACCACATGTTCTCCCATGGCAGAGGAGCTGGCCTCTTTCCAAGCACATCTGCACACAATCCCTCAGCTCTTAGCAGGCCAACCAAGGAGTCAGAGCAGGGCAAAGGAGGGAGAGACTGGGGGGAGAGAAGTAGTCCCAGACACTTCAAGGACCTGAACTTTCTTTGATCCAAGTGTCAGCGATGGCTTAGAAATGTGTAAATTAAAAAAATGGTTATTTAAGTTTACATTTGCAGCACAATCCACATCACAACACTAGTTTTGCAAGCCTGTTCAATTTTTTCTTTTTTGTTGCATTATTATTATTATCATTTTTTTTATTAATACTATATAATGCTCACATTGGAAAACAAAAAAAACAAGCTGCACCTATTTTTCAGTTCTACAAGCTTTCCCTGCTTGCTGCCTTTGATTTGGGAGGAAATTAGTGGCTTTGTTCTGGCAAGATGATCACTGAGCATACATTGCTGACAACACCTGAGGAATGCAGAGCATGCAACAGCAGCCTGTGTTCACCCCCGACACTGACCCCACCTTAAATCTTCCTTATCTGCAGCCCTCCCCCATATCAGCCAACAGCCATAAAAAAATAAAAAAAAAATAAAAAAACTTTCCACAAGTCTTCAATTTATACATTTTTAAAAAATACTTTGATTCCTGTTTTTTAGATTAACCTATGTTTCCGGCAGGCCACATTTTTCCCTCTCACTGATAATTTGCACCCCCCAAACTGGCCTTCATCTCTGGAATTTACTGCCACTCGGGTTCAACACTTACACACCACATCAATACATTTCATGCATCGATTAAAACATGGGGGACTAACAGCCCCATATGAGCCTAACCGTGTCCAGCCTAAAAGAAAGCAGTTAATCTCTAGTAAGAAAGAACATCATGGGGGGGAAAATCAGATTGTTATGAAAATGCAACTAATGATTCAAACTTTGAGGTTGTGTGCATCCTTATGTTTTGGAAATAAATACAGAGAGAGTCTGAAATCTTTAATAACACAGTATGGATGTGTTAGAATTACATATAATTTCCTTTCCTCACACTTAAGGACCAGTCAGTCAGGGTGCACAGGACAAGGCAAAAGATTGGGGGGAGTTGCCAAGCAACTCCTCATGAGAGACAGACACCTCTTTTTATAACAGGATAAGAACTGTCAGATAACATGACTGCTGGTAAAAATGGAAAATAGCTGATATTTTCTTTTTAAGTTTTAAAATAGTAAAAAAAAATAATGTCACATCAGATTTTATCTGACTTTATTGTATGTATTATTTTTTAGGATAACTAAGTTTTTAAAAGTGACTCACTTGCAAATTTGATACGGTATCGTTCTTTGTCTCAGTTAATCAGTAAAGTTTTTTGTATAATAAACATAAAAACATACTTTTGTAAAACTATCTCACCAGAGAAAATGTCACTTTTTCTTATTTCTTAATTTTTAAGATCCATTCATCTTCTTTACCACCTGTTCATTAGGCTGGTGCCTAGCTCCAGCAGGCAGCGTAAACTAGACATGTCACTTAAATCTTGTGTTTGTCCAGCTAATTATAAACATTTTGTCTTTAATTGAAATTTAACAAAACAAAAGATTTCTCATAAATTTTCCAGGCAACCATTGAGCATACTTCCTTTATAGAGTACATTATGTTTGGTCTGATTTTTGTTATTTAACATGTAAGGTTTCCTCATCCACTGAAATTCTATAAATAGTTGCTATCTTTGGCTATCAAAGATTAGCCACATCCTTGATTTCTAAATGTCATATATTCCCACTGTTTCTGAAGTACAAAAATGTAAATATTTTTAAATTAAATTATGTAAGATTTTCTTCTTTCTTTCATCATAGCATATGGTGATGAAGTAATAATTTTTAAATACTTGGACTGGGATTTTGTTCATTCAGCGTCTCGCCTGCTGGTTCTAACTGAAACTTTAAATCAATTCTCAGACTTCCTTATTGTGGATGACTTTGATATCTATTTGAAAACTATGAGCAAAAGCTTAACTCTAGCCTTTAATGGTCATTTTGAGGTTTACTTGACTTCAAAGGTTTTCCATTACTACTATCGCTTTTCACACTACATCCTTGAGACTGTATTTTGTTTTTTGTTTTTTTTTATTGCTTGACGGATCTGTTCTCTAAAACCACAGTTAATCACAATATATGGCTCAATGTAAACGTTCCACAGGGTTGTGTTCTTGGATCCTTTCTGATGATATATGTAACGTATAATAAAAATTATAAATCAGTTCTTTTGAAAAAAATCTATTTTTAGATAGCTAGGCAAAATAAGGCAGATTGTGTACGAACATCTCTATGACTTACCAATGTTGCCAACTTAAGGTCTATATCACTTAAACACAGCACTAATATCTATATGGCAAAAGCATTTTTTTCTTGGTGTAACTGTAACCACTGTAATAGAATGTTTGCCAGCAAAAGTCAGATGATAATATGTACTTTAGTTCTGCCCATTTTAGGTCTTCGCTAACTATGTGGTATTTATTTATGACAAACTGATAAGACCAAACTGAAATAAAAATTAAACAACAATTATAAAACTGAACTGAGTTGAAAAACTTTAACAGATGCCAGAGTACCACTGTGTCCCAAAATCATTTATCTGCCTCTCCTGGCTGCCACATGCAAAGAATGATTAATAATGTCAGCCAAATGTCCTCCAGGTAGATGAGGTAAGGTGTGCCAGCTGTTTTAGATTAGTCTCCATGCTGAAGAGGTTTAACTCTTTCACTTTAATCCGGGGAACCCAAGCTAAAATCCAGGTTGTATCAAGAAGGAAATCCAGCATTAAAACTTTGTCAAGTTTGTTAGCAAGTCGAAATGACTGGTTTTCCTTTGAAAACTTTTAATCACTTTGACTTCATGATCTGGTTGAATTGTAAAGTGCCTTGAGATTTCTTGTGTTGTGAATTAGCTCTATATAAATAAACTGAATTGAATTAAAAATTGAACAAACACATCTAATATTTTGTATCTCCTCAAACTGATAGTGCTTTAATACTTATATTGCACTTTTTTTTCTTCATTTTTTTGTGTTTAACTAGATGAAATAGAAAAAAGCTTTCAACTTCCACATTAGTAGTTAGCAACACATTTAGCCAATCTTCCTTTTTCTGACTTATGTGTTCACCTTTATGTGTTCTTCATCAAGCTGAAGGTGCAGATCTCAATACAAGCAAATCCAGAGAGCCCCCTAAAAGAAAAGGTAAAAAACAATTTAAGAATATTTGCTTAGACAAAGCAAAACAAAACAAAAATCATAAATAAAAAGAATTCAGATCAGCTGTCTTGTGCATTTAGGAAGGGTGTTTATATTATATTATATTATACAAACAGGAGCATATATGTGGGTAAAAAAAAAAAAACTATGATGTTACTATGAGTTTGAATGATTGTCCCAGAACGAACGGGCCATCAGCTTTCACACATCAACATATAGGCTGTGCACTTGGTGTGCGCTGAGTGTGCGCGCTGTGCAGAGAGCAACTCTAATCACCGCCGCTCTTCTGACTGAATTTCCCTGACTGACGTCAGCTGACTCTCCGCTCCTCTGGACACAGCGCCGCGTAAAAATGCTGCTCTCGGTGCCGCCAAGGACAGGAATCAGCCCGTACGGCGGATACACCGGCAAAAGCCACAAGAAGGTAAAGCAGCCCCCATCCGACCACTTGTGTTTCTCTTCTCTTAAAGTAGATCAGCCATCGATGCGGCGCTGTGCGAGCTCCGTGTCTCCACTTAAAATCTGCTCGGCTGTTTTAAGCTGCAGTGTCCTTGAAATTGGATCACGTTAAAACTGTTACTGTGTTTGGCTTTAATTTATTGTGCTAAACTGTTATAAAGCAGAGCAGAGTCTGTTACTGTGTTCCCTGAGGATTACTTGAACAGTTTGCTTTCGTTTGTTCCGACACGGTCTCTTCCTGCCTACGCAGAGAACAGTTTTAGAAATGTCCCTGTCTTGGTGCGCCTAAGAAGCGCAAAAGATCATTTCATTTTCAACTCTAATTTTAACCGAATTAAACTCGCTAATGGAATAGTTTTTTTTTCGATTGGATTAAACCCTAGTTTGTAAAGTTTTTTTCCACTTTTACGCGCTCCATGATGCCCCACCCCTTCAGAAATAATTACTGAGGAGGTTTGCATAGCACTTTAAGTAGAGAGGAAAGTACAGGCAGTCTGTTTTAGATCACCATACTGAATGAGCAGATTAGCGGAATAGCACAGTGACTTGAAACTGGAACAGTATGCGAGCTGTGATATTGATTGGCTTGCTCTGGGAGATGAATAATTCATGAGGGTTAAATTGTCTATTCTCAGCCGCTTCTATAGTGCAGACCATATATTTGACATAGAAACCACTTTAAAAACATTAGGTTTTTTTCCTGTTTTTGTCATTTCTTTTGGAGTTGTTTTCTGCAGATAAAATCTACTCAATTGGAATTGCAAGGCTTCTGCACTATCGCAGTTCATAAAGAACTGGGAAATGGCTTCAATTATTTTTTAAATTCAGAGTAGAATCATAATTCCGAAAATAAAAAAAACTAGAATAGGTCTTGTTGTTCTGAGCAGTGAGATCTAGCGCCTCCATTGAGAACCACCACTGCCCCTAAGCTTTGATAACTCAATACCAAATAGCCTTCACCTGATTAATGATACAGCTTCACCGATACAGTCATTGGAGCACACAGACCCTTGTTATAGAAGCAGAGGATACTCTCTATCACAAGAGTCTCCTTTGCTGGGTGCGCCTTTGGAGTAGAAATATAACAAAACATTTCCCCCCTTTCTTTCATGAGATCATCTGTTTTGTTGAAAGTAAACAGAAAGTGGGAAAGTTGTGCCATCAGAAACGGGCATTAATCTCCATTAATGTCATTTGAAACATAATACAATGATATGTAACTGAATTAATTTGCTTTGAAAATTAAATTTGTCTTATTTTACTTTTAGTTCCATAGATTAATTTTAGTTTGAACATTCAGTTTCCTTGTGTAAATCAATGGTTCCTTAAACCACAGAGTATTCACCATCTTGACCATATCGGCATGGAAAATGCGCAATGTTACACCTGCCAATGCTAATTTAGTCTCTTTAGCTACAGGTAGCAGTTGCAGTTGACCAAAGCCAACCTCTTGCATGACAATTCTTGTGGTCCTCTACTGCAGCCCGAATGCCTTAAAGTTAATTTAACCTGATGTGATATATCATTCCATGAATCTGTGTTTTTTAAGGACATGGTTGTTTGTGACAAAGTAGCTCAATTTTCAAACTGAAATTGAATATTAGAAATCAAAGTGAAAAGGGAAAAATTGAATTTTCAATGTAAAAAGAAAAAAATAAACAAAGCAAATGCATTGTTTCAAAATATTCAGTTTCAATGTAGTGAATTTAAATTTTAGACTAATAGAATTGAATAGAATTCCACTTTATTGTCATTGCACTGTCATGAGTACAAGCAACGAAATGTGGTTTGCATCTATCCAGAAGTGCTATACAGGATATAAATATTATTACAGGTGTATGTACAAGCAAAAAGTAATAGCTAGGGACTGTAAAAAGTTATGTATAAATATGAATATGGGTGCTACATGCACAGCTACATTATACAGATTATGCAGAATATACAGGAAATGTTAGGAAAAGGATTATGTATGTATTAGCGCGTTTATAATACAAGATAAATAATGGCAGATAAGATTTAGTCAGGGTAATTCAAATTCTCAGTTTCTGGTTGTGCACGTTTCTGCCCATATTTGTTATGAATGCCAACAATGGTTGATGTAATAAGAAACCTTTCAAATAAATTTCTAAAGGATGCATTCTAAATGTTTGACCTCATTACTTAATGTTCATAAGGTTTTGATGTTTTTTTTTATTTCTAAACACCCATGACCATCATATAACAGTTAATGGAACTACCAGACAATAACCAATCAGAGCACACTTTTTTATCCAGTTCAATTAGCACTCGTTAGTTCTCCTTCCTCACACCTCATCTAAGATGTGGCCCTCATTGGAAATGAAAGGGTTAAGAAGCTCTGTTGTTTAGCTGTCAGTAGCATAGTACTGTTGTGGCTAAACAAGCTAAAGCCTAATATAAACCAAGACTTTTGCTCCAGTGCAAAAAGCTGTCAACCATAATTTTAATGACAGATCTTCACCTATAGTAAACTGGTATTTTCAATCATAAAACAACTCATACTAACACATAAATATGTCTGCTGAAAACTCGTAGAATGAACAAAAATAATGATCGACTGAACCAAATTTTAGTCAATATCTAATCAAAAAGTTGGGAGCTGGGTTTCTTAACACAAAAGTATTTAGATTTGACTTAAACTGGTATTGAATTCTGGCTTCAAATCACTAATGTGCTTGGTTAAAATCGAAACTACTCTAAAAGCTAATATGTGATACAGCCCAAAATGTATTGCTAGAGTGCTCTCTGAAAAAGATATAAATGAGCATGAAAAGTGAGCAACCGTATGAGTAAGTTCATGGAAAACATCCGAAACAGCTGAAATGAAGCTCTTCCCGTCATGCCTGTGTCATTCCCATCACTTGCTCACAGCTGGAAGGAATTTAGATTGCTTAGATTAATGACCCGGAATTCCTGGAATCCTGAATTCAGACAATGTGTTTGCTTCCACAGGGGCTCTAAAAACTCTAAAACCTTTCTCTCCTGAAGTGAGACTTCCAAGCTTTTTTTCCCCCCTAGGAGATAAAGTCACACACAGAGGAGAGACTTGTAAATCCAGCATCAAGTGGTAACCCCTGCTCAGTGTCGTTTATTATTTAGAAAAGGGCGGAGAGAAGAGAGGGATTAAGAGATACTCCCCTTTTTACTCTGCTTCCCATTAACTTCAAGCTTTTTTTCTCCCTCCCGCCTGTTTCACATTGATTTCTGCTAAAAGCAGTTTTAGGAGAGAGAATAGATTAAAGAGTGAGTAGTGGAGCTGCGGTATATTGAGGGTTCTCATCACTTCGCTTATGTAGCTCCTTCCTCCTCTTACCGCTTTACTTTACATATTTGGGATTTAATGTAAATGTTATACTGTGATCTTTTCCACCGGGCATTTAACCAGTCAGGTTGGTCTGTTTTTTTGTTTTTTTTAAATAATTCTCCAAGTTAACAATGTAATCTTGTTTTATTCCTGAAATGCAGTTCTTAAAACTTGTTGTAGAATGATTAATGATAAACCAATTTCAGCTAAAGTTTGATTTGGTTGTATAACTAGGTATATAATTTCTAATTTATTTTTTTGTTTAACCATATGATCGTGAAAGTGGTATCAAAACTGGAGAATGGTCATTTGATTTAGGAGTAAATTGCGGGTTGAAAGGGTGAAAATCGATTAATGCCTTGGTAATGAAGAAGAAAATATAATGCAGTTTAATTTTTCAACAGCGAGGTAAAATATAAAGTTTAACAATTATTTTCTGAGAAAAGTAGTACATGTGTTATTGTATAAAAACTGCTTATTGATATTTTATAGCTTAAAGCAAATTTGGGTTAAGAAAGAGTTGTGGCACATATTGAAAAGTGAGACGGTAGGTTTTCGCTATTAATTAGAAAGTTTCCACATCCTGTTACCCTTGCTATTTTTGTTCTGTTTGACTGAAAAAGTCCTTGAGTCACCTGCGGTCTCTTCAGGCTTCAACTCTGCCACTTCCAACTGTAATCTTCTCATCAGATTTTATCTAATGACTGAGGCACAAAGTCTCTGCACCACGCTGGGAGACGCTTATGTCACATCTCTATCTAAAGAAATATATAAAAAGATTAATGTAGCTCTGCATCTGTACCTAAAAATAAAAAAAATATAATAAAGGAATTTTGGAATCATATTTTTTCAGATGTAGGAATAGGAATAATACGTTGTAGTGTTTAAGTCCCATGTTTTCCATTTGTATCTCTGATTCCCAGTGAGAAGAAAAAATGTTTAACAGACCTAACTTTTGAATCCATCCAGTCGTACATAATTTTACTCACCTCACACTCTGGATTAACATCGTGAATACATTTGATTTGAGATTCTTTTGGTCAGATCAGTATGAGTACAAACCTTGAGCTTATAGATTTTATTTTTAAAGATGTTGACAGCATGTTCAAAACTTTCCAACAATAGTTTTGAAACAATGTGGCTCTACGGTTCAACTATGCTTTTTTGTTGAAATGGCATTTAGTCACAATAAAGTAAGAAGTGTTTAACGCCATATACATGAGGTGGTGTGCATTATTGTTACACTATATACAACAAACATTTACTGCTAGATTGCTAGAGATTTGAAGAGACTCAAATATCAAAGCAACAATCTTGCAATAAGAAAGAAACACTAAGATATCCTGTTTGCATTGACAAAGATTATCATCTGATCCTTAATTATTAAGGAAAAATTATTAAATGCATTAAAATCCAATGAAAAGTTACATGGCTGGGCCTGACACAGCAGGAGCCAACACATATTCATTGTTTAGGAAAAAGGCGCTTCAAATGTGACATAAAGAGTTTAAAGATATAAAAGAAGTTGTTCTTCCTGATGCCCAATCATTCTATCATTTTTAGACCTGGGCAACACATTTACTTTAAATATGACAGCATACATAGAAAACAACGAAATGGTATTGTACCACCTTTAGTTTTTA